GGAAGAAAGATGGGTAATCTCCTGCGTGATTTACAGCCTCCAAAACCCCACTACATTATCAGTAATGAGTTGGTCCCAACTCCACTGCAATAACTTACTTTTAAAAAAATTTTGCTTTTTCCTTTTTTCATACCACAAAATCGAATTCAACTGGTACAGGAGGAAACTGCCCATCCTTCTCCAGCAGAGCATCTCGTGGATTCAAACCGTGCACCCTTGGGATTGCAGTGCAGCTTCTTTGCCACTAGGCCACCAGAGCTCCCTTGGCTTTTAACTTCTGATTCAATTCACATGAACACCTTTTCTTCTCTCAAAACTAAATGGTTCTTTTCAAGATGCCATTTTTATAATGCCAAGATAATCACAAGCTTTCACACCACAACCACAAAACTGCTTAAGACATCCAGTTGGAACGGACTCACAGCTGACCCTTTAAGAGTTTTCGGATTACCGATACTGCTCCCACAGAGCAGCTGGTAGATTCAAACCACATGACTTTGGTTTGGCAGTGTAACTCTTTACCGCTAGCCCACTGGAGCTCCCCTAAGGTCTGGTAGTTATTAAAAATGTAAATCAAACCCACTACCATCAAGCAGATTCCAGCTCTCAGCAAACCGACAAGACAGAACAGACATGCCAACTGAGTTCCCAAGACTGAATCTTAATAGAAACAAAGTGCCGCATTATTTCTCCCAGAACTGGTAGGTCCCAACTAATGACCTTTTGATTAGCAACCAAATGCTTTTACCCATAATGCCACCAGCGTTCTCAGTTTAGTATAAATTCGTAGGATGCAATTTTCATGGAGGCTGAAATAACAAATCTTGATGAAATGGTATACTGGACTACATATGTTTACATAATAATCAGACTCTTTACTGAAATATTTTAAGGACTAACATATATTACCACCCATTCTAGGGCAGTCTATATTAATCAGCTATTGCATTAAAATTGTTTGCAGCAACAATGTCATTTAGTAAATACTCAGGCATCCAAAATTGGGTACTAGTTAGTAGCAAGGGTTAACACATATTTAACATTTATTAAGTGTCAAATACTATAAGAGGGTAGCAAAAATTCCATAGAGTAATAACTGTTACTCCATTTCACAGATGATGAAGTTAAGGTCCTCGGAAATAAACGAATGTCACACAATTACTATTCAGGGAGAGCTGAGATGTCACCCCAGGAAGCCTGGGTCCAGGAAGCAGAACAGACAATACTGACAACATGCACATGCAAACACAAATCAACAAATGCTCCCACTGTTCTAAGTGGCTTGTAACTGAATTATCAGAAAGCTTAAGTTCAACCTGTTGAGACATGGGAACAAAGGGTAAAGAAGAGAATGCAATCACCTTACATTTATGAGTAAAAGTTGGGTAGAAAAAGCAAAATAGGAAAAAGCCATATAGTAAGAACCTGAATTAAACAAACCAAAGAGAGATGGTATCAGGAATCTGTGAATTAACACCACTAGGCATTCTTAAGATTTAATAAGATGACCATCAGAGGAGGAGGAGGCTATCAATCAGATCTTTTTGAGTACTTCAGTGACACAAAAAGCACCCGGCAAATCACTGCAGGCTATGCTTGTCAACGGCTCCAGAGCAGAAGCCACTGCTTTATTCACCTGCACTCAGCAGCTAGTGTGACTTTGAGAGAGTAGTAACAGGGGCACTTAAAAATGGCAGAAGATAAAGTGGGCTTGGCTGCAAGCAAATGAAAGTATCATAAAAATCAAAGAATCCAGATCTGATGAAATAAGACCAAAAATTATTAGAAATTCAACAAGAATATGGATAACCGTCTATTTTGTCACAAAGAAATCTACAGTGAAGTACAAAGGTTAGTCTAGAGAAGATTAAAAGTAGGACATTATTTAATAGAACAGAAAATAATCAAGACAAGTTTCTTGAGGGGTGGGACTTGATTGCACTCACAGTTACAAAATTAACAGATAACAGGTGACCAGGTTCAAGTTCTCCTCCAAAGCTGCAATGAGAAAGGCCAGCACTTGGGAATGGGAGAGCTATCATTACACGTATTTTCCATTTAGGACATATTTGTTTGCAAACCAAGCAAGCCCCCGTGATGAGTTTCCTTTGCCTGGCCTGTGCACTGTGTGCATCTCATGTGCCCATGACGTGCAGACCAATACGGCACTGAGATGAGAGGATCTCAAGAGTGAAATAGCAGGCATTATTTAGGAGTCCATCAAAAACTAAACAAGTAAGTAAAAATACCATGTCGGCTAAAGCTAATTTTGAGATTCATGAGTCAGAACTTGCAGTATCAATACTTTAAATTCTCCTCACAGGTGCCAAAGTTAAGAAAAGACATGAGAATCATCCAATCCATGAAACATGGTATAAATATTTGCTCCCAAATCGCAATTCATTTGTGGAAAATTATCTATGTGTCAACCTGGCAGCTTGATTCAAAAGCTGTAACTAGTGATGTAGCCGCTAAGATTCTTAACATCTGGATGTAAGACAGATCTTTACAAGCACTAAAATTACTTCTAAGACTTCAGTTTAGAAATGAGACACTTTCCCCCCTTGTTGTGTATCACCAAATCGGATCTGACTGGCACAGGAGGAGATTGCCCCTCCTTCTCCAGCAGAGCATCTGGTGGATTCGAACCGCCGGCTTCGGGATTGCAGCACAGCTTCTTGCCACTAGGCCACCAGAGCTCCCTTTAGAATGTATACACTTTTAAACCAAAGTCATATAGTTCCTGAATTCTTTACCGGTCTCTCTCTTTTTTCCACATGGCCTGTACCCTTTTGCCTCATCTCTTTTACCCCCAGCAGACAGAAAACAAACTGTTTCATAGCTGAGCAGGGACCCTAATGGGAGTGGAAACATTTTTTAAAAAATTAACATTCTTGAGTCACAGAAAACAGTGGTAACCATGCAAAGGGTGGAGTTTAATTACATCACAGTGTTGAATGACTAATATGGGTCAAAATCTGAAACTAGCTACAGTTCCCCAGAGTAAGGAAGAAGCCAGATCCACATTACAGCTCAACCGTGACGTGCCTGGGGCTGGAGACGGCACAATAATGTGCACACCATCCGGAAGCTCGAACGTTCTGGAGGCTCTCCCCGACAATTCCCGGCCCCTAGCCAACAATCCTAACCTAGCAGTAACCGTCCTACAATCTAAAAGACCTTGTGCTGGATCAAGACCTTGTTGGGTTTATATGATAAACACCCATGTCTTCCTTTTCACAACTTTCTAATTCTAAAATACCCAATAATATCCCGTCTATCAAATCAAATATTGATTTTATTTTTGGGGGGGATAAAATACAACTGGGGCGTTTTTCACGTCCCTTTTTTACTGAACAGTATAAGCTCATAAGAAGAGCGTCAAATCCTACAAGATGGCTAAGGCAGAACCCACTTACATCCATGAAATGGGCCAGCATCAGGAAGCAGCTCAGTCCTCGCCCTGTAAGCTCAGGCACAAAAGGGACAGTGAAAACGCCTACACTTATACTCTTCCCCAAAAGTAAAACGAGATCTGGCTAGGTCAGGCAGCAGAGGCATCTCGTCACACTCTCGTTTTAGGTCAGCATTTCCAAAATCTTTCCCATGAAGTAGTAAAAGGCCTCTCTGGTCAGTCCCATTGAAATGCCACAACTTCCCATCGTGGAGCATCAACACACAGAAGAGCCTTGGGCGGCCCTGAGAAGTCCTAAAGAAACAAAGGCTGTGCTTAACCCAGTGTTTTCCAGTCTGCTTGTTCAAAGAAACTCTATGCTTGTTTTGATTTGTAAATTCTGGTAATATGAGAGAAGGAGTTTGGGAAATGGTATTCAAAGATCACCATGTTTATGTGTAATGAATATTTTAAACAGTTAAAAGGCTAACAACATCTAAAACTAAAGATTTCTTTGATAAGAGAGATTAAAGACAGTGCTGTCAACAAATGATAGTCCCATTTTACTAGGTAAAATGACATGCAAAGTAACATTTGCTGTGTTTACAGTTGTTTCTGGGTGCCACCAAGTCGATTTGTGACACCCAGTAACTCTAAGCCACAGTTCTGAGCTTGCTCTGTGATCTGTTCTCTCAAGCCCACTGTGTACTGTATACAGCTGTTGTTGGGTACCGTCGAGTCACCTGCTGTTCACAGTGACCCTATGTACAACAGCCTTGAACCCTGCTCTACCTTCAGCCAAGTTCACTGTCTTGGACACACCTTGCCCCATAACCCAAGCTACTGAATCAATCCATCCAAACCATGGTCTTTATGTCTTGTTCTGTCCCTCACATTTCCAAGTATGACATCCATCTCCAAGGATCAGCCCCTCCTTGGAGACATACCAAAAGTATATCAGACAGAGTTTCAAATTCCTTGCCTCCAAGCAGCAGCCTGGTTTCACTCTCTCCAAGACAGACCTGTTTGTACTCCTAGCAGTCCATGGGGCATATACAATACTCTTCTCCAGCACAACTCAAAGGCACCAATCCTTCTGTCATCCTTACTCATTGTGCCAGAAAAAACCACAAAGTCTATTTTCTAGAAATCGCTGTCATTTTTCACATAATTCTCATAAATTAATGCAAATAAATCAGTATTTGGAGCTGAAAGAATCTTTAAGTACTTAATGAGAATATAACTTCTATTCTTGACTCATGTAAAACTCGAAGATAACATCTTAAGCAATGATCTCGCTTTATATTATTGATAACAATAAAATTATCTTCTGAGACCAAAAAATGGCACCTATAAAGATTATTACAATACTTACCACACTACAAAAAGAATCCAGACCAAAGCTACATATATACTTTAGTATATTCTGGATTAGACCAAGTAAAACTTAACAAGCTGACCAGCATTCTATAAAACAAAAGCAGAACATCAGTTAGGCTACTTCTGTCTCCCTCTACGCTATGGACTTACTGTGAGAAAGAAGACAATCTTAGAACAAGATGACTGAATAAATTTACACTCTTTATCTAGAATGTATTACATTTACCTCAAGAGAAGTTCTTTGGGTAACTTTCTGTTAATAAGGCCTTCGTCACTATTTGAGAAAACCTGGAAGAAAAAAAAAAACACAAAAGGTTAAAATGTTTTCCAATTATTACTGAAAACAAAGATAATATTACATGTTTTAACAGCATATCACATATCATAATCAAAACATTTCATGAGTGGATTCATGACAAAGTGCCAAACCAGTTCTCTCCGGTTTAAATAAGGCTGGTGAAACCAAACCTGAAAAGAGCTCACTTTGTAAAATGTGTGCAAACTAGCATAGAAGAAATTATTGATCAATGCTCTATTAGAATGCAATCTCTCACTTAGTACAAGGGTAATACGTATGTTAGATAGTAACGTGGTCTTTGGACCAGCACTGGTCTTTGTGATTCACACACACAAAAATTCAACTCCCGAGAGCTCTGGTGACCCAGTGGCAAGAGGCTGTGATGCAATCCTGAAGGCGTGTGCTTCAAATCCACCAGACGCTCTGCTGGAGAAGGAGGGGCAATCTCCTCCTGTACCAGTCGGATCCAATTCGACGGTACACAATAAAAATTGGGAAAAAAAAATCAACTTAAAGCTCACTGCTACTGAGTCCAAATCAACTCAGAGCTGCCCCTCCAGTGGGGTTTTCATGGTTATAAATTACATGGAAGGAGATGGCTCACCTTCTCCTACGGAGTGCCTGGTGGATTTGAATCACCAGAGAGGCCTTTTTCATTATTGTTATTATTATTAATTTTAATTAACATTTACAGAGATTGGATTTCCATTCATTGTTGTACTTTTCTCCCTGCCCACCCCTCTCCTCCCCTCAAGTTCGTTCCTCTCTTTGAAAAGTAAAAGAAAAATTCTTTCATTGTTCTACAATCCCTCTCCTCAAGTCCACTCCACTATGCAGTCTTTGTTCTGGACTCCTGTCATAACAATAATATCTAATCATATATACCTTTTAAACAGTTCTCTCCCTCATATGTTTCAATGCAGTATACATAATTTATCCTGTCTTTCTCAGTCTCCCCCATAACCCGTCAGTCCCATTTTACAAGAGTGGCACTATGCAGTATTTGTCCTTTTGTGACTGAGATAGTTCACCCAGCATAATGTCCTCCAGGGTCACCTATTTTGAATAATATTGCATGAGTTCCTTGTTTTTCAATGCAGCGTAGTATTCCATTGTGTGAATATACCACAGCTTCTCTAGCCATTTGTTTGTTGATGGGCACTTGGGTTGCTTCCAATGCTTTTCTTTTGTGAACAAAGGCATGATAAACATGGGTGTGCATGCCCTTTTCTTTCTTCATGGATGATATCCTTGATGCAGTCCCACTGCCTGAGGAGGTATAGTGTATGATCAAGAATCAAGGGTAAACAGGATGTCTTATGTAAATTTCATGATTCTTGTTAATATTTTCTTTTGCTTATGTATTGGACAATTTCTCAATAAAAGCTATGAGGGTGTACAAGTTGGGAAGACAATCAGACATGAGTTCCTCTCCCCTTACCTCTTGACTAACTAAAAAAAAAAAAGAATCAAGGGTAGAACCCAAGTTGCAAGGCAGGCACTGGTGAAAAGCAAGGCTCCATGAACACAGCCTAGGCTGGAAACACTGACTAATCCATGCCACAGATTTGGAAAACAGCTACTGGTCAACCCACCTGGAAGAAAACACTGTGTGTGCCCATTACAAAGAAAAGTTTGATCCAACAGAATGTGGAGACGTTTGAACAGTATTAGGCACAAGCATAACAGGGCTGCTACTTGAATCCTACCTGAATTTCCTTACAACCGACTAGCTGAGCACATCATGAAGATGCTTACGAAACTGCCAAAGAACCAAGAAATCATGGCCCAGCCAAGCTCATATATTTTAAAAGGACACAATTCAATGCCTGACCATGGTATTAAAGGGGTGGATGAGGGGTGAGGGATGGGAGGGTGAGGGGGTAAAACATGCAACAATGCATGAATGAAAACCTAACTTCTCTGTAAATGTTAAAATCACAATTAAAAGAAAAAATTTTTTTTAAAAAAAGGGACTGGATGGGGAAGGAAGAGGGATGTGGGCAAGAGAAATACAAGAACTCAGAGAACGGTGAAAATGTAATTAATCATCTTTATCACCTGAGTATCACCTTTTCTCCTTGCTATACTTTTTTTTTTTTTTGGCAGTCCTTTGGTTTCATTTTCTGAGCTTAAAAGTATAACTGTTTTAAGTGGTCCTCTTGATGACGTCCTTTAAAATAACAATAAACTGTTGTTATGTGCTGTTGAGTCGCTTGTGACTCATAGCGACAGCCCTAAACTCTGCTCTGTCCTGTGGCAATCACACTGTCTCCGACACTCCCATCCCAATTACCCCAGTCATTGAACCAATCCACCTCATAGAGGGCCTTCCCCTCCTGCGCCGTCCCTCCACCCTCCCAAGCATGATGTTCCTCTCCAAGGACCAGTCCCTCCTTACAACATGTCCAAAGTATGTTAGACGGAGCCTCAGAATCCTTACCTCCAAGGAGCCACCTGGTTTAACCCTTTCCAGGATGAATCTGTTTTCCTAGCAGTCCATGGTACCCTCATAACTCTTCTCCAGCACCACAGCTCAAAGGCATCAATTCTCATTCTATCCTCCTTGGTCATTGTCCAACTCTCTGATGCATAACAAGTGATAGCAAAGACCCTGGCCTGTATCAGACACACCTTAGTCTCCAGAGAGACACCACTACTCTTCAGTACTTTGGAGAGGTCCCTAACAGCAGACTTTCCCATGGCAATACGTCTTTTCATTTCCTGGCTACTGGTGCCAAGAGTGTTGACTGTGGAGCCAAGCAAGCGAAAGCTGTGAACAAAAATAACTTGACAAATGGTTTCCTTCATGTCTCTTGATTATGACCCTTGCTATATTTTTAATGGCTTTGCTCTTGCAGGAACTAGAGTGGTACACTGGTTCAAATGCTTTGCTGCTAATCAAGAAGTCAAACTCACCAACCATTCCCTGAGGTAAAGATGGAGGTAATTCCATCCAGTTTATAGTCACTATGAGTCAAAGCTCTGGTGGCCTAGTGGTAAGAAGCTGCACTGACATCCCAAAGGCATCCGGTTTGAATCCACCAGCTGCTCAGTGGCAGAACAGGCAGTTCTTCTCCAAAATGATTTACAGCCGGTGAAAATCCGCTGGCGGGTCAGTTCTGACTCGCCTGCACACAACAGCTAAATCACTACAATATTCAAAACACTTCTTTCGCATTTAAGCTCTGAAACTCTTAGTGACTCTCTACAATATTGAAAATACATTTTCCCCACATTTAAGCTCTGAAACTCTTAGTAACTATCAATGCATCCCTTTAAAACAACTCAAAATTAAAAGCAGTATACGTAAAAAGATCAATAAAAGGGCACTGCTGTCATTTGTGGGTGGTCATCTGTCCCTGACTCAGCAAACCACACGCCTGGGAGATATTCTTCCAGGGCCAGAGGGACCTTGACCATCCATCCACTTTCTGTTTCCATCATCCCACAGCCCCTGTTAAATGCTGTCTGCTGTGGGGGGTGGAACCCAGAGGCTGTGAATCACAGGGGAAGACACTGCTTATCTTTCTTCTCACATGGAGTAGCTGGTTAGATTTGAACTGCCAGCTAAGTGTTTAAAATACTGTGCTAGTTTGCATGGATGTCGACAGGAGCCTAACCACCACGTCAGATTTCACTCTGACCCATCAGGCTCCCTTATTTAGAAGAGGCAGTCAGCCAGGATTCTAAATGGTCCATTTTCTCTTCAAAAAGCAAGCAAGCACTCCACATTCTCAACTACCAATACATCCACTGAACACTGCAGATAAGGAATATACCTCCCTGGAATTACTGTAAAAAACCACCTCTTAAAAATGAGGCATTTCCCTACCACCCACATCCCAAAGTCTCTACCAAGGATGTGCAACCAGACAGGATGTCCAGTAACACTTCTTCTACACCCCCTGGAAGCTTCTGGAGAAATCTTACAATGTTCTGAACCTTTGTCGGTCCCAGCTGACCTAGTCAGAAAGGCAGGTGAATCCGCAAGTTTTTGAAGATGAATTTAATTAGGACCTGGTGAGATGCCCACTCAACCTCAAGCTTTAGAAACAAAGCTAATCATTTCTTAAGATGTTTAGAATGCTTTCATTATGTGTCAATTAAATCTCTATGGGAAGCATGCTGCACTGAGAAAGGGGGGGAACCCTTCTGCTTAATGCCCCCCACTCTAAAAAAAAGGGGGCGGGATCTCCAAAATTATACATTTCACAATTGATGTGTTAAAAAGCCTATCAGAACAATGCATCTGAAAGAAAGGGCGATGCACTAGGTTGCAGGTGTAATTGCTTTAAAATTAGACGGGCCCGTGGACAGAGGCAGAGCGTGCACACAGGAATGAACCCACGTATGTAATCATGTTGCAAACCACACCCTCGCTGGTGGCTTCCCAGACTGGCCACGCGTCACGCCGTCCGGGCGCCCACGGGGCGGGGACCCCAGCTGTGACCCCGACATCCCGCAGCAGAGACCCCGCGCGCGGCGTCCACTCGGGGCAGGTGGGCGCTGCAGGTGCTGCCGACGCCCTTCGCCCGCCCCGCCCCGTCCCGCAGGCCGAGGCCTCACCGCGACCCCGGCGCCGCCCGCCCCCACCCGAGGGCGCGATCAGGGGACCCGCGGGGACGGAGAAACGCGGGCGCCAGAATGGACACCGGCCGCACACTCACCATGGCCAGACAGCCGCGGGCGCCACGGCCGGAGCCTCCGCACGCCGGCGACGCCCGTTGTCCTGGTGACGCCAGCCGGGAGCCGCCCCGCCCCGCAAGGTGGGCTCAGGAACGGCTATTGGCGGGCAGATAGCACGTGATGCCAGTGTGGGCGGAGCTGTTCTCGCGCCACGCCCCTGCTCCTGGGGCGGGGCCTCCTAGCCTCTCAAAGTCTCAGGACCATCGTCACCCTGATGGTCCTCACCTGACAGATAACCAGGTTGGAAAACTGCCCACCTGAGAACGATGTTAATAGCCTTCCTATATTTAAAAAAACAGATCACAGAGGTAATCTTCTGATTACTTTCGATATTTTGATTCTTAAACTCCAATAAACGAAGAATTTTTAAAAAATCATGCTAAATCTCAGTACCTGACATAACCACACATCGTAATATAATTTGCTTTCACGTTTTCAAGGCTTTTCATGTTTTAAATGGGGGCAAGCCATCCATATTATTTTATAATCTGCCTTTTTCCATTAAAATTATTATCTTTGTCAATTTATTAAATCAATCAGTAATTTGTTGGATTTTTCTAATACATTTTAAGAGAATTTATGACATCTTCCAATCCAAACCACTGAGTTCATAAATGAGAAGGTTCTCTGCCATAGCTTCCCGCCCAGGTCTTATTTATTTCCATGCCATGTTTAAAAACACATGTCTGTCTTCCCATTGCCTAAGTTATCTTAGCTAATTCATGCCAATAAATTCCATGTGCCCTCTTCAGGACACCTCATTTGCATATTCAGCAGCCTTCCACTTCATTACCAACAGCTGAGTTGGCATTTTTCCTTAAATGTTTAATAGGCATCACAAAGTTAACATGATTAAAACTCTACGTTTACTTTTCTTATATATATACATCTCCTAGTCTTTCTCATTTCAGTTAATGTTCTCACCATCCCCTTAGCCACTCAAAAAACCTAGGAATCATTCTTGATTTATCTTTTTTCACATCTTTATCAATCTATTAATAAATATTCTCGATTCTTGGCTGTTCTAAAAATAAATACCTAATATATACACTTCTCCTATACCCACCTTACAGCCTCCTCTTGCTTAGGTAACTTATCTCAGGGTGACCTCCCTTCTTGCAGTCTACAAAATAATAGTGCTTCTGTGGCTTCTTGTGACATTTTAGGAAACATTTCAAAACCTTCCCATGATCCTTCATGATGAGAACCTTTCCATAACACTAACGTCATTTCCTAACACTCCTCCCTCCTTCGGTCCACACCTGATGCTGTTCTTCTTAGGAGCCTCAAGTCAATTTCAACTAATGACCTCCCTACATACAAAAGGTCAACACCTTGCTCAATCTTGTGGCATCCTCGCAATGTCTGCTGTACTTCCGCCTATCGCAGTCTCTGCATCAATCCATCCACAAGGATCTTCTCCTCCTCTGCTCCTCCGCTTTTCCAGGGATGATGCTCTTTCCCAGAGACTGGTCCCTCCTGACCACATACCCAATGCCATGATAGCCCACTATCCTCACCTCTAAGGTGCACCCCATCTGCTTTTCTTTCAAAACAGATTTGTTTGTTCTTTTGGCAGTTGATGAGATATTCAATACATTTCACCAACACCACAACTCAAAGACATCAATTCTCCTTTTGTCTTCCTTATTCATTGTTCAACTTTCACACGCATATGAGGCAATTCAAAATGTCATGCTTTGGATCAAACTACCTCAATCTTTAAACTCACATCCTTGCTCTTTAGCATATTAAAGAGATCCTTAGAAGTAGATTTCCCAATACAATACACCTGTTGACTTCTTGAGGGCTGCTTCCAATGGGTGTTGATTGTTGAGCCAGGTAAAATAAAACCCTTGACAACTTCACACTTTCCTCCACGTGTTGTTACTTATTGGTTCACTTGTGAGGATTTTGTTTTTCTTACCTTGAGGTGTAATCTATACCGAAAATTGTAGTCTCTGATCTTCCACAGTAAATGCTTCAAGTTCTTTTCACTTTGAGCTGGCAAGGTAATGTCATCTGTATGATGCAGGTTGTTGGTGAGTATTCCTTCAATCCTGATGCCACACTCTTCAGTGGATTACATATTGCAATGCCAACCAAAAGGTCATCGAATCAAATTTATTTTCTACTCTGCAACCAAAAGGTTATTGATTCAAATTCATTGGCTACTCTGCAGGATAAGATGACCTGTCTCCCTCAATTAAGATTGATAACATCACTTTACTGTGCAAAATACTGTTAAATCATTTTCACCTTCTGTTGGATCACGTTTTTTTGGAATGAGCAAAAATACTGCTCTCTTCCAGGTTGTGGCCCAGTAGAAATTTTCCAAATTTGTGGCATAGATGAGTCAGTGCTTCCAGTGTTCCATCTGTTCTTGGAACCTTATTTCCGCCAATGCCTGCACTGAAGCTTGGACTTTTTCCTTCAATACTATTGGTTCTTGAGCGTATGCGGCTTCCTAAGGCAGCTGTGGGATGGCATCAAGGATATATCCGCAAAGAAAGCAAAAGATCTTTACAAAGACGGGGAGTGGGGGTGGGGGTGGGGGAAGACCAAAAAGAATGACAAAAGAGGCTCTGAAAATTGCACCGGAATGTTGAAGAGCCAAAACAAAGGGAAGAAATGCCAAACTAAGGAGTTAAACAGACGGTTTCAAAGGGCAGCTTGCGAAGACAAAGCAAAATATATGAAATATGCAAAGAGCCAGAGTTAGAAAGCTAAAAGAGAGGAACACTCTTGGCGTTTCTCAAGCTGAAAGAGCTGAAGAACAAATTCAAGCCTCAAGTGGTAACTCTGAGGAGTATATGGGCAAAAGCTTGAGTGTTGCAAAAAGGAACCAGAGAAGATAAAGGAATACACAGAATCATTGAATCAAATAGAATTGGCCGACCCTGGACGATTCAATCAGTAGCATATGATCAAAACACCAACAGCAGTGCAGGAAGAATTCCAGACTACACTAAAGGCACTGGCGAAAATAAGGCCCTGGGAATTGATGGACGCTCGGTTGACAGGTTTCAGCAAAGAAATACAGCTCTGGATGTGCACCTTCATTGCACTTCCATCAAGAGAGATTTGTTTATTCTTTAAAAAGAAAAAAAAAATCTTGATTTACTCTTTTGGCAGTTCATGGGACTCTTTCCAATACCACAATTCAAAAGTATCAGTTCCTAGGATGCCATCCTTATTCATTGTCCAATTTTTAGATATATAGCAAGTACAGTCACTACCCCAAAATATAACCAATTAAAATTCAACTGCTATGTTGTTGTTGGGTACTGTCGAGTCAACTATGACTCAGAGCAACTTATGAACTACAGAGCTGAACCTTGTCCTATCCGACAACAACCGGAAGACCTCAGATTGCTTGATCAGAGTTCTGGTGGTAAGAAGCTGTGCTGCAATCCCACAGACACACAGTTCAAATCCACCAGCTGCTTCCCAGGAAATGCACAAGCAATCTCCTCAAGTGAGGGCGATTTACTGCCTTTGAAAATCTGGTGGAGGCTCAGGTGTGAGATGGTTCCAGCTTGACAGCACACAACAACAATAACAACCTATGGCATACATAGACAAGGTATCAATTGTAGCTGAAAAACAACACAATCTCTCTTTACACATACACACCCTGTACATATTATATGTATGTGTGTGTGCGTGTGTTTGTGTGTGTGTGATTTCCCCCCTACCTCCATTGACTTTGTCTGTCTAGATGACCCAGCCTAAAACAAACTTCTATATTAGAACATATATATTTATCCCATTATTTTTTAGCAATACCTACCAAACTCATAATAACAGCGATCCTAAAGGGAGAAGTTTGCTAAGGTTGGTGACCAAAGGACACCTTAGCTTTTTACATATCACTCACTCTTCTTGCAAAGAGAATAGATTTGTTTCTACTTGCGTGATTAAACATTTGGAAAACTAGTCGTAGCTATGATGGCAGAAAGGCAATTTGAAGCAAAAGACAGAAGGTGTTTAAAGAAGCATCAGTTTGCCAGGCAATTTCTCTGGCATTTAGGGGTGACTTTTTTAACATGCTGTGTTTTTATTCTCTTTTCTCCAGTGTTTCGAGAAAGCCTGCTGCTCCTCCAATCCTTCTCTGATCACTTGGTCCTCGTCGCCACTTGATCCATCTGTCCAAGGCCTTGGGTTCCCTGATAGCAGAGTCTTTTCCTCCGAACGCTGAGTCATCCTCCTCCCCACTCCCCCCCCTTTACTTCTCTAGGCAAACATTGTGCATTTTTGTGGGTCCTGGAAAAGCTGAAGTTAGACGGTGTTTATTTTTTCATATGAATGAAGATAAAGTTCCCTAAAAACCAAGCCCAAATAGCTACAGAGCAATCTTTTTATTTGCTCATTTACTCTTACACAGACTATTTGGCAGGGCCCTCTTAAAAGTCAGTAGACAGGAAAATATGCTGTCTTAAAATATAATGCAATAAAGAACAGTGGGCTTCTAATCATTCTCCTGAGGCTAGTCCGACCCTTTCCAATAAATTAGAGCAAGCTCAGCCACTTTTCCTTAGACGGCACAAAATGTCAACAGGGCCTGGGATAGCAGAGGGTATGCCTGGCATTCCAAGACAGGGACAATGCAAATCTTCCGAGAGGAGGGACGGCATTCTGCTGGGTCTAATCGGGCATTAACTCGGTGCCCTGTGTGGGCTGCAGTGGCTGCATGCCTAGGGTACCTCCAGGATTCTGTACGTTGCCATCTCTGAATCCCAGCACACCTTCAGCCTAGACTTTGGCTGTCAGCCTCCTTCCAGTTTGAATGTTCTTTGAGGTTTCTTTACAGCTTCTTGCTTTTCCATCTACAGGTTGTTTATCGAACAGATGAATGAAAGAATAAGAGCTAAGTAATTTGTCGACAGTCAATACTGCCACATGGTAGAATCCGTTTGCTTTTGTTTGTTTGGCATCTGTTATCCTCTGCAGGGAATTGAGGAGGGATACAAAACATCTCTCTGTCCTTTTCCCATTACTTACGCTGGATCCTAGTCAGTTCTAGGCCTGGAACATTGTCATGTATATATTTCTATAGATACATGCATTCTATGACTTT